GGCTGGGAGGGTGCCAGGCTGAAATGCCTGGAAAATAAATGCATTTCCAGGGTGGGCTGATGACTTCCCAGCACACGAGTACTGGAGGTGGAAGAAGGCAGAGTGTGTTTCTTGCTTGCAGCCGAAAGGAAAGAAGGCCAAAGGCAAGAAGGTGGCACCAGCCCCTGCTGTAGTCAAGAAGCAGGAGGCCAAGAAGGTGGTCAATCCCCTCTTTGAGAAGAGGCCCAAGAACTTTGGCATTGGTGAGTGGATATTTGGGATGTTTGCTCCATGTTTTTTATGGAAACAGGAATGTTGAAGAGTGGAGGGGGTGGTGGATGCAGTTGCTCTGCTGTCCTCCTTGTGCAGGTGGTGTGGGACAATTTGCCCAATTTACACAGATCCATTACCAGCTCCTATTGGGATGAACCTTACCCTTTCACACATGGAAACAATCCACACTTGTGCCATTTTTTTCACGGGATGCAGATGATGTGAAAGAATATTTGCTATCTGAGTGGTCGTGCTGACACATCACCACCAAGATCACTGATGCACTCGTGCTGCCCTGTGCTGCTGCTGTGGGTTTGGGGCAGTTTTGAGCTCAAAGCTGTGTTTTTTAGGACAGGATATCCAGCCCAAGCGTGACCTCACACGGTTTGTGAAATGGCCACGGTACATCAGGCTGCAGAGGCAGAGGTCCATCCTCTACAAACGCCTCAAGGTGCCTCCTGCCATCAACCAGTTCACTCAGGCTCTGGACCGCCAGACAGGTAAGGATGTGCCCCACAGAGCCCTCTGGGCTTGGGTTGTAAATGGGAAATGCCTCAGGGAAGGGGAAAGAAAGCAAAATAAGCCTTGACTAAGGTAAGCTGGGGAGTATCTGTGGGGGGAGGCTTTAATAGTGATGTCAACAGCAAGTTGTTGTGTGAATTTGCTGTCTTAAGTCTTGATTGCTGCTGTATGCTCTGAAAAGAGGTTTAGAAGATACCAAAGCTCCTTACTTATCTAACTCAGTGTTACATGAACAGTGTTTTCATCAGAGCCCATTCTTCCAGCTTGATGTAAAATCACTCAGGGTTCTTCGGTGAATCTGTAGGAGTGCAGGTTTTGCGGGAAAACCAACATCCTGGTGTTGGAACAGCAGAAGGAGGGACTTCAGGGTCTTCTATGAACAAGTTAAAGTCTTTGCCAGGTGACAGTGTCTGTGCAAGAAACTTTGGACCTATATAGAGTAACTCCGTCATCGTAGGTGTTGCCAAACATGTTCCTTGCTTGAAAGGAGACACAGCACCACCTTTAACCATAATTGCTGTGGAGGTCCACAGGCATTTCCTCATGCAGGCAGTGAAGTCTCAGTGCCATCAGAGGTGCACGTGGAGGTAGATAGTGGCTCTGGAGATGCTCTGCCCTCACACTGTGCAAATGATGATCACTTTTTGCTGCCCAAGCACATGTGATGACACCCACCAAGATCGCTGATGCACTGCAGTGTGTTAAAAAGTAATGGTGAGATTTTTCAGGTTGTGCAGCTAACTAGTTGTTCTCTTACAGCTACACAGCTTCTGAAGCTGGCACACAAATACAGGCCAGAGAATAAGCAAGAGAAGAAGCAGAGGCTGTTGGCTCGTGCAGAGCAGAAGGCTGCAGGGAAGGGAGATGCTCCAACTAAGCGGCCACCAGTCCTCCGAGCAGGTAACTGGGCTGGGCTGGTGCTTGGGTACAGACAAGACTGATGGAAGAGTTGGTGCTCACCCAACCAGCCTTGGACAAGCTATTGCAATGATGTATGAATTTCTTCACCTGAGCTCAAAGTGAAGAGCAAAACAGACGAGCTTTTTAACCCTGAGCTTTAGCAAACTGTCCATGGAACGTCTTCTCTGTGCTACTGATGGGAAAAGTGTTCATAGCTTCCATAGTGAAGCTTTGCTGTGGAGTCTGAGCTTCTATGAGGCTTCTGTGAATCTCTGAATGTAGACTGAGTGGAATCAAAGCTTACCTGCAACTTGTTTTTCAGGTATTAATACTGTCACAACTCTGGTGGAAAACAAGAAAGCTCAGCTTGTGGTTATTGCCCATGATGTAGACCCCATCGAGGTGAGCATGTTACAGGCTACCTGTGCAACTCAGGCCAAGGCCAGAAGTGGTCTTGGTGTGAAAATGCATTTTAGGACAAATTTATTGTATGAAAGAGAAGCACAGAAAGACACATTCACCAGAACAGAAATGCTTATGCATGTTCGTAGTTCTGATATGACAGTGAGGCTTGGCTCTTGCAATGATGTTTTGAATTTCTTCACCTGAATCAGCAGTGAAGAGCAAAACGAGCTTTTTAACACTGAGCACTTGCCACAGCCCAGGCTGACACACAGAAGGAAAGGCTGTTGTCCCTCAGTCCCACAGCATTCCCTTTCCTTGCAGCTGGTGGTGTTCCTGCCTGCCCTGTGCCGCAAGATGGGAGTGCCCTACTGCATCATCAAGGGCAAAGCCAGGCTGGGGAGACTCGTCCACAGGAAGACTTGTACCTCCGTGGCCTTCACCCAGGTTAACCCGTAAGTGTGCTGGGAGCTCCATTTCTCTACTGGACAAAGCAAACTGCCCTAAGCACAGGCTGTAGGGCAGGTGGGTAGCAAATTTGGGTCTCTCTGAAGTAGTAAAATACCACTATGTAATGACTAATAAGTGTCATTCATCTGATCCTGAAGATACAAGTTAATTTGGGTTGCCAAAGTGTGTGGAACCATTAGCCTTAATCTGAGCAGTGCAAGTGTTAAAGTATTGGTGGTTGGAGTTTAACCCTTTGCAAGTGATGCTTATGCTTAACCTGAGCAATTGGGTTGTCACTAGGAGCTCTCAAATCCTGTGACAGAATCCTTATGGAAAATGTTAAGGCTCTAAAGGAATCCAAACTCTCACCAACAGGGAGGATAAGGGAGCCCTTGCCAAGCTGGTGGAGGCTGTCAAGACCAACTACAATGACAGATATGATGAGGTAAGATTCTCTCTGCTCCTGGCTTTGTCTTTCAGTTCATACTGTTAACATCCATCCCCAAAAGCTTCCTAGAGAAAGGCAGATTATTTCAGACATGGTACCTGTTGGGTGTGTTGTACCTAGATCTGCTTGTACCCAGAATCTTTACCTGATGGTGGGGTAAAAAGTGAATTCTGTCACCAAGTTAGGAGTAACACGGACATCCCAGGACAGGGATTGTAGGGAAGTCAACAGGTTCAACTCCATCCCCCAAGCCCAGGAGTTATGTGATGGCTGAATCCAACACCACTCGTGGGGAAAGTTCTTTCATCTCTGTGCTGCCCCAAAATGTAGTTCAGTGCCTGAAATGTGTAGCAGTTCCTAGTTGAGAGCTCTTCCACTTGTGCAGAAAGGAGTAGAATGGAGTTGATGGAATGAGGCCTCTAACCTCTTGTCCCTTCTTTGCAGATCCGTCGTCACTGGGGCGGGAATGTCCTGGGTCCCAAGTCGGTGGCTCGCATTGCTAAGCTGGAAAAGGCAAAGGCTAAGGAACTGGCCACTAAGCTGGGCTGAAGATGTACTAGATTGCACCATGGTTCGTGTACATAAAAAGAATAAACCCCAGATGAAGTTTCAGTGCTCTTTGTTCATGGGAGTGTTCCAGGCAGGGAGTAGCACAGTGGCATTGCCTTACTTTTGTTTGCCTTCTATCCTTAATTACTAGTGCTGGGTAATAATTCCTCTCCCTTAAACACAGCCCAGCAGCTCAGTGTGATTTTGAGGCTGACTGGGCTAGTTCTGAGTTTGCAAATCTCTCTCAGTTGGAAATGGCTCTCCATTAGTACTTAAAACTGGGTTATAGTATGGGTTGCACATGGTGTTAACCATCTTCCACCAGATTATCCAGCCAGGGACCTCCAGTGAGGAGGGCTGTGGTGCCTCTTCCATGGAAGGCAGACTGAAGGGGGAACAAATGAGATCTTGTGCTTCTGTTCTTTCCTGACTTGCTCTGCTGGCAGTGTGGAGGTTACCAAGGCTCCTGCTGTGGTAGCTGCTGCTTGTTTTTTGCCTCATCATGCTCTTGCAAAGCCACAAACTGCCTTTCCCAACTAGACCTGAGTATCCACAGTAACCCATAACTCAGGTCTGTCACTGTAAGGTGTAATATGCACAACACAAACATAAGGCAAAGACCTGTAGGCCTTCATTTATTCTGCTGCAACTGCTGTGAGCCACTCCTGACTTCAGGAATGGCTACTCAGTTCAAAGAAACTTTGATTCACAAAAGCCTTTGTATTTCTCTTTTGGAGAATATAACGGTGAAGATGTTAAAATGTAGCTTAGAACCAACCAAAACAACAACAAACAAGTATATTTGAGATTATTGTTGGAAGTTAGTTGCTTCCAAGCTGCAGCCAAATCTTGCTGGTGGGAGCTCAGAATCTGCAGGGGTTGTTTGAAGTTGTTTGAAGCTTGATAGAGGCACACTGCTGAACACTGCCCTGAAACTCCATGTGCTTCAGTGAGCCAGGACTGATCACTCCTGTCTTCTCTAAAAGTCTGCTCTTGACCAGGACAAACTGGTTACACCTTCCCTCACCGAGGTATCCTTTGTATAAATTTCCTGTACCACATGAAGGAGGTTGCAGCACACAAACCATACCTAGGAGAGGAAAAAAACCACATTTGCACCTTCCCAAGGTACACTGAGCCTCTCTAGGACAGCTGGAATAAGCAATTATTTCATATCACCTTGCAAATGTTACTTAGGTTAAAACTTTAGGCTTTCGTAGCTTAAGAGCTCATCCAGGTAAGGTTTTACATTCCAAAGCAACCCAGGGCAGGTCAGCCAGGCTGGCTGGAGCCTTACCAGGTGATTATGTACTGCATGTGCTCGTTTCTCAGGCTCACTCTGGTCTGGCCACCAATGGGTCCCCCTGGAACTGTGCTTCCTGCAGGGACAACACAGCCAGGTTAAATCTTGGGTCTGCACAGTGTAGAGCTGCCATGGGACAGAGGGGATGAAGGTTTGGTGGATACTCTGCTCCTCTTCAGGCAATGATGTTCCAAGTCCACAGGATTACACAATGGTTTGGGCTGGAATGGACCTTAAAGCTCATCCAGTTCCAACTCCCTGTCATGGGCAGGGACAGCTTCCCCTAGCCCAGGTTGCTCCAAGCCCCATCCAAACTGGCCTGGAACACTCCTAGGGATGGATCAGCCACAGCTGCTCTGGGCAACCTGTGCCAGTGCCTCAGCACCCTCACAGGGAAGAATTCTTTCCTAATCTAATACCCAACTCTCTTAAGTCCAAAGCTGTTCCCCCTTGTCCTATCACCCCCTGTCCTTGACAAAAGTCCCTTTCCAGCTCTCTTGTAGATCCCCATCACCTTCAAAACAGTGGGCTAGCAAAGTACATGAAGAGAAAGATGCAATTCCTTGTTGGACTTGATATTTTAAGTCTTTACAAAGTCTTTACCAACCAATTCTATGGTTCTACTCTCTTAAGTCCAAAGCTGTTCCCCCTTGTCCTATCACCCCCTGTCCTTGACAAAAGTCCCTTTCCAGCTCTCTTGTAGATCCCCATCACCTTCAAAACAGTGGGCTAGCAAAGTACATGAAGAGAAAGATGCAATTCCTTGTTGGACTTGATATTTTAAGTCTTTACAAAGTCTTTACCAACCAATTCTATGGTTCTACCTTTCCAGGTACCAGGGAAAATGACTTAACAGAAAGGGAGGGAGACTGGAACTGGAGATGGGGTTGGGTTCCTGTGTGACTTACTGAAGTCTGCATCGATGAAGATGGGCTCAGCCCCTGTCACTTTGGCCATAGCCTGCAGGTCACGGTAGTGCCAGCGGTTTTGTTCAATGTTATTTTCAGGCACAAAGGGTTTCCTGGTTTCTGTTAACCTCACCACCCCAGTGAGGTCAATTTCACCTTCAATCTGAGGGGAAATGCAGAGAGGAAAAACCAAATAATTTCATATTCCAGCACACCAAGTCCTGCCAGGAAAACACGGCACTTGCAGGGTCAGAGCACACATGGAGCTGTCGTGCTCTGCATGTGCTGTAACACAGCAGGGAAAAAAGCAGAAGAAGAACAGCTCCTTGTTTGTACATAAAAAGGTGGGAAACAAAGGTTTGCTGCCTTTAAAAAGCACAGTCACCTCCCATGATGCTGAACATAGCTCCTGTCAGCTGGGTGACCAAAGGGCACAGACTAACAACACCAAATTCCCTGGATCCCCCTTCCCCTTACCTGTCCCTTCAGCCTGGTCTCTGGTTTCAGTTTCTTCCTGGGCACAAATCCTCGGTTGACTAAAATCGTGACCCTAGAGAGTTACATAAAGAAGTCTGGCTCAGGAGGGAAAGGAAATTCATCCTGCTGCTGCCTAGAACTAAAGAGAGAAGCAACCCACAATTGCTGCCACTTACTATGCCATCTGAGAGCACGGTGTAAGGGAATTTAAACACAATTTCCAGTGAAGACTCAGTGACCTCACGGAGTGCGAGAGAAACCTTTAAGGCACAGGGACTGATACAAACCCAACCACCATGATTGTGCTGTTCCAAACAGAAGTGAGGTGCTCCCATGGACCTAGACTCACCCCAGCTCTGTGCAGTAGAAGGGAGTGATGACGTTGGCTCCGTTCTCGGGGTGGGATGTGAGTCTCCCAGCTTCCCGCGCTTCCCGCTCGGGATCCACCAGCGACCGTGGCAGAACATAGAGCTCCTTGGAGTGGTCAAAGTGCCCTCGGACCTTCACAGGTCTGTACTCCAGCTCCTTCAATTCCATGGGGCTGCATGGAATCAGATGAAAACAAAATCATGGCTGTGCTAGGCAAATTAGGGGATTTTTATCATGGGATTCTCCTTTTCCCTGATGATTCACTCTAGAGCCACTTGGCAAACAGATGCAGAAGACAAACACCTCATGGAATATGCAGCTGGCTTAATGTTTTGTTGCTTTCCAAGTGAATCAAATAGAGATGATCAGGAAGCTATTTTCCATGGTAACCCAGTGGCACACACAGCTGATGGGCAGGTGGATTCCCTGCCTGTGTATCCAGCCAACAAGAAGCTTTTCTTTCCCATCCCAGACCATGAAATCCAACCACTGTGCCATTTTGACAGTTGTGCCAAGTGACCTAAAAACCCTCTCACATCTGTCACAACTGCTCCACACATGGGACAGGGCCTGCTGTTGATCCAGGACTCCCTGCTGCAGTAATAATTCCTTTGGGACATCACAGATACTCTCCTTTCCCAGGGGGATTATATATGGCATGAACTACATCCCACATTCTCCTGAACAGAGCTTCATCCTTTTCCCATGCATTTAGAGTATCCCATAGGAAAACATTCACTTATCCTTCTACCAAACAGGAAAATTAACAGGATCTCTTTCAATTTTCTGGCACATCCTGATTCCCATTCATTCCCTTGTTTTCATGTGGTTTAGTTCAGCACAAGTTCGTTAGTGCAGGGTCCATATATAACATCACCAGCACACTGTCAGTGCCCAGCAGACCATAAACCATTCCAGTTTCCATACTCTAATGTCAGAGGGATGGGATCTGAAGTGATTCTTGATGCCAGCTGTGCAATCAAATCTAATTTCCACTTCCGTCGCTGAACCTGAGAGAACACAAACACAAAAGTAATTCCTTGGGGTAGAGCAGAGCAATAACCCCAGAAAGCCTCAAAATCTTGGTCATAATCTCATCAGACCTGGCCTAAAACAGGGCAAGTGGAGATATGAAAATAGAGGCTACTGATTTTAACTTGAGGAAATGTTTATACCGAAATAAAAATGCAAAAAACAAGAATCTCTCCTTTAAAGACTTACAAATGAACACTTGGAAAAGAGAAATGTAAAATAACAGCTAATGTTTACCCTGTCTGTGATTTGAACTAGATCAAACAGATGGAAAAGTCTGACAGCTTCGTCCTGGAAAGAATGAAATATTTATTTGTACCTGCCACGTGCCAAGGCCAAATGCGGTCAGAGGGACCAGGAAAAGGCCCCATTTCAGTAAGGTGTCCTCTCCAGATGTCTCAGCAGCTGTTGTAGAACTTTGTGGTCTGCAGAACCTCAAACAAACACCTGGAGAAAAACAGAATGAGGAACAGGGTTTGCACAGAAGAGATGCCAAACTCCTACAGGAATTGTCACCTCTTGGTATTAGGCTGAAGCAGAGCAGAAGCTCAAACAAGTCTTCTCTTACCTTTAGTTTGCTGAACCAGACCAGAACCTGCTTTAGTGAGGGGATATCCAAAAAATGTTCTTCTGAACAAGCAATGTGATACCTACAGGAAATAAGAAAGATTCTTTGTAGTGTTTCTGCTTTGTAAAATTTGTATCTAGATGACAACAGTTGCCTTGATGATTGCATGTCTACCCATTGAGTTGAGTCTCAGCTGAGCAACTGCCTGTGAAACACTATGGGTTAGGTCAAAAAAAGTCAAATTCTGGTTACAGAGCTGACTGTAGCACAGCAAATGAACTTCCATCCATGCTATCAGCAAACCTACACCAGCTTAATGTATTCTTGGGATAAATGGGGGCCTACAAGAGAGCTGGAGAGGAACTTTTTACAAGGGCAGGGAGTGATAGGGCAAATGGCATCAGGCTGACAGAGTTAGATGGAATATTGGGAAAGAATCTTCCCTGTGAGGTGCTGAGGCACTGGCACAGGTTGCCGAGAGAAGCTATAGGTGCTCCATCCCTGGGAGTGTTCCAGGCCAGGCTGGATGGGACTTGGAGCAACCTGGGCTAGTGGAAGGTGTCCCTGCCCATGGCAGGGATGGGATGATCTTTAAGGTCACTTCCAACCCAAACCATTCTGCGATTCAACGATAAATCCCAGGTGAGCACCTGCCCTTTCCTTCCCACCACACAGGAGTGGCACAACGGCTGACTTACACTCCTTTTGCCACCAACTCTGCTCACTTTCAGCACTGCTTGGCCCCGCGCGGTGTCACCGCTCCCCGCACCGCCCAGCGCGGCCG